CATGGAGGGGAGAAATCACTTTCCTCAGCTGCTGCCTATGGTTTTGCTAGTATAACCTAGCATGCAGTTGGCTTTTGTTGCTGCAAGGGCACGCTGCTGATTCAGGTTCAACTTGTCATACACTGGGACTCCCACATCCTTTCCTGCAAAGCTGCTCTCTGTCCAGATGGTCCCCAGCTTGTACTGTCACATGGGATTACTCCCTTAGTACAAAAAGCGCATTACAAACCCCAAAATTTTGCATAAAAGCACAAACCTTTGCATTTGTCTCCGCAGAACATCAAGAAGTTTTCCACTTTTCCACTCCACAGCTTCCTGATGTCCCTCTGAAAGGCATCCCCATGCTGTAGCCCACAGACTGCTCTCCCCAGTTTGGTTTCATCTGGGAAATGTGGGAATAGCCTGTCCCCTCATGCAGGTCATTGATAATGATGTTAAACAGCAGCATCCCTGGAGGAACACCACTCATAACCAGTCATCAGATAAATTTTGAATTGTTGGTCACTGCCCTTCAAGCCCTGCGGCTCAGCCCATTTTCTGCCATTCTTGCAGTTCCTGTCTCATTCCATATCTCCGTAAATGTCTGCAAGGATGCTGTGGGAGAATAAGTCATAGGCCAAAGTCTTGCTAATGTCAAGGGAAACAACATTTACTGTTTTCCTCTTGGTCCCTGAACTAAACTTTTCATCATATAAGACAATCAGACTTTTCAGGTATTGTTTGCCTTTGGTAAACCCACTCTGTATGTTTGTAGTCACCATCTTCTCCTTCACATGCCTAGAAGTTACTTCCAGGTGAATTTCCCTCACAGCCTTCCCAGGGACTGCCCAGCCTGCAGTTCCACGAATCTTACTCCTTGCCTTTTTGTTTGTTTGTTTTCGTTTTTTAACATGGGCATCACATTCGCCTTTCTTCAGTCACCAGGGACCCCTCCTAGTTGCCACAGCCTTTCAAAGACAGCAAAAAAACCAGCTTTGCACTGACATAAGCCACCCCTTTAGCATTCTTGTCTGGTCCAACGGGCATTCATTTACAGATACTTTTTATATGAAAGGTAAACTTGTAAAAAATACAACAGACACGGTGGGGCATACCTTAACATCACAATAAACATACTATGAATGCATTACTTCAGGATTTGGAATAACATTTTATAGAGAGAAAAAAAAAAAGAAAAAAGAAAGAAAAAAAAGAAGAAAGGAAAAGCCTCTATGACTGAAGGACCTGTTCTTGGTAGCCTGAGAACAGGATACTTGGACAGGGTCAGTCCATCTCCTCCACTTCTTCCTTGCCTCACCTTGGGACAGGGCCAAGATGGGGAGATAAACCCTGACTTTGAGGGTTTATCAAATATAAGTTGGCTTCAATACGATTTGGAAAGGCCTTCTGTATGATTTCACATACCTGATGCAGAACTACAGAGCTGGGCTGGGAATGTTGCTCCGATCAGTGTACAACAAACTTCAGCATCTCTCTTTGCCATCTCTGGTTAGCTTTCTGGCTCTTTTATTCCGTTGTCTCCATGTGAGATCTGTCCTGTTTAAAAGAAGACATATGTTGAAGAACCCAAAGAGAGGGAAAAGAAATGTAGAAGCCTGCCAAGTTCCACTGGACTCTTCCCATTGGGAGCAGGACTAATCTCTCCTTACACTTACAAAATAAAAGAAAAAAGGATGCAGCCCAAACATATCAACATGGCCAGATAAATGCATCAGGCTTTGCTATTTTGAAAGAAATGAGCCATTTGGGAGAAGGAACCAAAGCAGTTGAATTATTTATGAGGTGTTACTTTCCCCCAAGACAGTGCAAGTCCACTGGGGACTCTGTGGTTTTATGCACCATGTTGTCAGTGGGACCTGCTTCCCTTTTTAAAAGGAGCAACTGAGAGCGGCAACAAGAAATGTGGCAGAGCTGCAGATGAAAAGCTTGGCTTTTGGACAGGGCTTTTGTGGCACAAAGTTGATCGTCCTCTCTCAACCACAGATAGTGAAGAAAAAAAACAAACAAACAAACAGAAACATTACTTGCCAGATTGTCTTTGATTCCACAAGGCTTGCTCTTAACTCTAAGAACTAAAATGGTGTTCATGGTTGCTAGTGCAGTACAGCTGTTTTGCTACAGGTGACACACAGGGAAAGGAAGCAACCTTACCAGGGCAAACCCCAGATGAAACTTGGACCTCAGCACATCTAACTTATCACAAAATTAAAACCTGCACTGAGTTTACCTCCAGAAGACTGATTTGCATTTATCAACCTGAAGTTAAAAACAAAAACAACAACAACAAAAAAACCTCAAATCTCTGTAGCAGAGTCCCGGAGAACATGCTCAACCCATATCCTTCACCCATTAACAGGAGTGACTGAATGAAGCATGTTGTGAGGGCCTGACACACTCTTTGCTGCAAGCAGTTAGAAGGTCAAAAGGGAAATAAAAACCAAAGTCACTTAGAACCAGCTGGGGTAGATTTTTGAATGACTTCCTGAGCCATACAATCAAGCATTAGCAGGGAACACAAATACGGCTGTACACTAGCTTCAAACATTACCAATTCCCCACTGTTCCCACCTTAACCCACAGCTGGGATTCTTTACCTGTTCCATCAGATGCCTCAAACCCAGTGTACCATGAGTGCTTCACTCTCAGCAAGATCAAGCTTCAAATTTCAGCTATAGCCTCTGCTCTGCAACCTTGTCAGTGGACACCCTGAAATTATTTGGTAGTACCTCCTGACTGCTACTCCAAGCCTAGCTGATCGTCTGTGCTTCACTCAACATTCAACCTCAATCCCTGCTGTAAACCTAAATCAGCAACCTCTGCCTGCCTTGCAGAAAGCTGCTGTCAGTGGCAGCACCGAAGGCACTGTCACATCTGGCAATAAACCCATCTCTGGTGGTCACCAAGTCCCAAATCTTCACCTTCAGCCTCATGCCTGACGTTAACCTCACCCCAGTCCCACACTTAAGTCCTTCCTAATCAAGCCAGACTAGCGATTTCTGCCCTCCCCAGCAATGATTGCCTCTCACTGCCTCCACAAGCTCAAGCCAGGCCATAACAATGGTTGCTCAAGCCCAAACTCAAGCTCATCTCACCATCATGGCTTAGACTTATATCCAGCCCTAAATGTTGGCCCCTCCTGACAGAATTTTTGACAAAAAATAGCTGGTTGACTAATCACAATACATGCTCTGTAGCGAGCAGTTGGCAAATTACCAGGAAACCAAATTTTGCTATTCAAAATCAGTCGAGGCATATCTGAGCTGCAGTTTTTCAGCAATAAAATGCAGAGAACCGCTGGCAGCAGCACATGCGGTTTTAATGTCACACCTCCTGCACTTTGGTAAGCCCAAGAAGCAAAAGATTTTCTTGGAGTAAAGCAGCGAAGACCTACGGCCTCTCAGCTATTTACTGCTGCTGGACCCGTCCCCCTGCCAAGTCGCTGTGCACCCCACAGCAGCCAGCGGCAGATGGCTGGTACAGTAGCTCGGAGCATTTGGGACCAAGGAAGCTAATCCCCCGGCACACAGTAGCCTTTCTGAAATCTGAAAGGAGTTCCCAACACAGGCTCTTTCCAGCTTTTCATGCTATTGAATTTTGGAGGGGAAGAGCGCACTGAGCTAGTCCAGTAGTAACTGATGAGTCCAGTTTTGCCTCTTGCATCAAACTCTGACTCACCCTGCACTGATACCAACTCGCAATTCTCTCTTAATTGGGAAAATCACTAGGATAGTACTCGCTGCCAGAATTCTGGGTCATAAAGTCATTCTCTGACTCAGAAGAAGGTTTACAACAGCTGTGGCAGTGATATGTACTGTAGGTGAGTCATGTTGAACTATTAGCATGAAGAGAAGAGCCTCATAAAGCCGAAACAAATACATAAAGAACTGCACTGACCCATCTAAATTATAATCTTACATTTGTTATTCTATAGCAAAGGACTCGACAATGTTTTATTGCGTACTCAGTTTTCTGGAATGCAAAATTTAAAAACAAAGTTACTGAGATGCCTCTCATCACATGAATCCCAAACAGCCTTTTAATTCCGAGGATAAAACTTTAGCTGATATAAATTTCCTGGCAGGCATTAAATTTGTGGAGGCATACTGGTTTTAAACAGCTCAGAATCTGATTCCAGATTCATGGGACGAAAACCCATGTTTATGGATTATGTAACAGTGAATGCAGATATGTCTCAAGTGCAGCACGCAACGTATCTGGCGGCATATAACAAAATATTCAGTGAATATTCAGAAGGAAAATAACGCCCTGTTTAATTTAAATTACAGGAAAAAATTAGATAGATAAACACCATCAGGTTTTCCAATGAAGGATTCCATTAAAATTAGTGAGAAAATATATGAAATACGAAGTAACTGAAACCAATTACTGACTGTTGCTGAATGGATACTGAGGTAGTTTCACTGATTTTACAGGCCCACCATTGTCTGAACATTGAATCCTTTGCCTGTGGAGTAAGCCAGCTAATGCCACAAGTCATACCCAACAGTATCGATGCCAGAGCACTCAGAAAAGCCTGGTCTCCAGCGTGTGACGTGTGTGTTTAACAAGTTACAACCTTTTTAGGGAGAACTGATATGAGGAACAACAGGGATACATGGCTATTCCTCAGTACCAAGTAATCACTGGAGGAGGGGGAGAGAGGGAGGGGGAAGAAAGAGGGGAAAGCATAGTGTGGTCTTTGAAATCCTTTGCTGCCTTTTATCACATCAGTGCAGGAGTCCCCGTCCGGGTTTGTGTCAGCACCAAACGCGTTACCTGCAGGCAGCACGGCGCGATGAGGGCCAGCGCGGCGAAAATGGCCGAGTGCTGAGGGGACACCTGCCCGCTCCTGCCGGGGGCCTGGCGCCGTGACAGGGGCGGGGGGGAGGCACCGTGACAGGAACGAGCCCCCTCCCGCCGCCCCCCACCCGCGGCTCTGAGGGCACGCGTGGGCTGCCGGCGGCGGGGGGGCCGTGGCCTCACTGCGGCAGCCGCTCGGCGGGGAGCTGCGGGCCGCCCCCCCGAGCTCCCCCCGCCGCCGGTTCCATTCATGCTTTCTCCTGCCTTCGCCATCTCCCTCGCCGAGCGAGGGGAGAAGACGGGAGCGCGCGTGGGCGGCCGCTGCCAGGCTCCCTGTCAGTCACACCGCCGCCGCCGCCGCCGCGCTGCGAAGAAGGCGAGCGGGGGAAGAAGGAGGGGCTGGCGGCGCTGCCCCCAGCCTCACTGCCCCTGCCCGGGGCGGCTGCTGCGGAGCCTGAGGCGGGCGCGGCCCCACGGAGGGGAGCGGCGGCGTCCTGAGGGGTGGGTGCGCGTGCACGCGGCGGGGTACAGGGGAGGTGTGAGGGGAGGGGGGGGGGGCGCGGCTCTGAGGAGAGGCGCGAGGCAACTTGCAACGGCCGTTAACGGTCGTAACGGCTCGGGGGGAAGCAGGGGGGGCGGGCTGAGGGCTCCGCCTTCGTGCGCCCCCCGCACCTGGAGGCGGCGGCGGCGGTGGCGGCGGCGAGAAGGGGCAGCAAGGTAAGGCTGAGCCGTGCCGCGCCGCCACAAGGCGGCTGCCGGGTCCCGGGGGGAGGACGGGAGGGAGGTGGGCGAGCGGCGGGGGCCCCGTGGGCAGCCCCCAAGCCCGGCGCCTTCCCGCTGCCTCGGTGCCCTGCCCTCCCCTTCCCTCCGCCGCACCGGGCGGCTGCTCGCACCGCGCTTTATCTCCCCCTCTTCTCCAGTGTGATTTCATGCGCCTCGCAGCCCCGCCGGGGAAGGCGCGGGGAGGCTGCTCGCACACCCCCAGGCACGGTAGCGGCGGCAGCGGCGCGGCTCGGCGCCGCTCTCCTCAGCACTGCAGCCGCTTCCCCTAGCGGGCAGCGCCTGGTGCCGGGGAGCCGCAGGCGGGGGAGCAGCCGGGCTCTGCGTGGGGATCGCGCTGCCGGCACGGAGCAGGACGCGGGCTTCACGCGTGCCCCCCGAGCTCGCAGTTAGGAGCGATTTTTTTTCAACTTGACGTGCGGTTTTCTCCTTAGTCAGCTGCGTTTTAGCGAGGCGGTGATTCTTGTATGTGGAAAGATGGTTTTAGTAGGTTTATCCTTTTGGATAACGGTGTTATTCACAGAGTTTATGGGGTTTGGAGCCAGCTCCTCTGTTTGCTACCTGGTTGGTACAGACTTGCAGCTGAGGATGAGACCCTGTGCTGGTTTTGGTGAGGGATTCAGGAGAATTGTGGCCGTGTTGCCCTCTGTTCTTACTTGGTGATGACTGTATGCACTGAGGAAGCAACGTCTGCTTTGCTTTCAGCCTTTTGTCAGGCAGTTTGAGATAACTTGTTGTATAAATGCTGGAGCTAATGGATCAAATTGAAATTTGGGTAGATTCAGAGCTCGCCCTGATTTTAGCACAAGTTTTGTACGTGACGGAGTGCTGAATTTTGCCGTCTGTCATACCTGAAATAGAAATTTTCCCTTTTGCTTTTCTGACACTTGTTTTTCATTTTGCTCCTTTGCAGTAGCGCTTTGGTCAATGGTTTCATTGATACATTTGAATTGTGCTGTATATTTGAAGCAAAGGATAGTTCTGAGGCTCAGTATGCTCCCATTGAGACAGAACAGAATTTAGCCTGTTGACTTGAATGAATAAAATGGATCCTAAAGCTCTTGGTTTACATTTGTGTACGATGAATCCCAGGGATTTCAGTAGGTATGCGCAGGAAGGTGACCACATCATGTTCACCTGTGTAATTCATTGTGCTGTAATTGAATAGGTGTTATTCTTTGTAATATTTTGCTTCTTTTTTTTTTTTTTTTTTCTTTTTGTCACCCAGAATTACAGTTGTGTTATATTTGTCAGTTAGCTATAGAGAGTTGTCAACTGGATGTCGTGTGTGTAAAACTGGAAGAACCTCCAGATAGCAAGACCATCCATTTAGTGTGATAAATGTAGAATACACAACAGGGAAGCAAATCTGAATGGTTGTAGCATGCATCTCGCGAGGCAAATGCTGAAAAGGTAGAAAGCCAACAAGCAGATTAATGCCTTCAGCTTCCAAGTAACTAAAGTTGTTTTAAATGGAAGATCTTTATTCTGTTATGACATGCAGTTCATGACTTAAAGAAAAACAAGAGAATGGGGAAGAGAAGTTATTTATGAGCATTTTTTTTGATGGTGGTGGTAGTTTTTGTGTGTGTGTGTGTTCTTTTTTTTTGTTGTTTGTTTTTTTTGGGGGGAAAGGGTGTCTCCAAATTCCATTATGCAGTAGGATGCTTTCCAGTGTCTGTTTTCTCAGTATCTGGAAAGGCAGATGTTGCTGCAGCAGGGGCAATTACAATGACTTGCAGCACAGGAAGGGGAAAAAATATCTGTTCTGACTCTTTCTGCATAAACCATTGATCAGATATAGAGCTTTAAGTCCCTCAAATAGTTTGAGAAGGTTGGAACTAAGGATTTGGTTTTTTGGTTGGCCCTGTTTAGGGCTTGTCAACAGAAGAGATGAGATAAGCATCACATATAAACTTGTTTCACTACAGGAGTGAAATTAATGCACAAATTAATGGAAGTGTTCGTTTCCAGAAGAAAAAAACGGTTAGCTTGTGTTACAGTCTTTGTTAAAGGATTCTACTTTATTGGTTTGACCTTACAGTTGTCCACAAACCTCACCAAAAATCAGTTTTCCTAGGTTTCATTGGTTGCTGGATGCTTAACCAAACTGCTCTGTCCTGGGAGATATTGAGTCAAAAAGCAGAAGAAGCAGTGGTGACTCAAGCACTGTAGGATTTTACAGAAGAGGTCTTCTCAACTGTAGCTTTTTTTAAAGGTGTATGATAAAATCCCATATTTGCTGAGGTTGCTGAGAATTTTGTTATCACAGGATAAGAAGCAAACTCAGAGAGAACTGCCTAGACCACAGCAAAGTGCAACTGATGTGACCCTAGATTCAAGCTGTGATAGCGTGTAGCTTCTGAATTTAAGCTGGTGATGCCAAGAATTTATTTCTATCTTTTAAATATAAAGTGTTTCTACTTTAGAGGATATTTGAGACTTCCTGCAAGTAGAACATGCAAGTGGAGGTGACTTGTGCTAAGGCATCTTTTAGCAAAGCAAGACCAGAGGAGTTGCCTTCCTTCAGGCTCAGCTTTCATACTGGTTTGATAAATAAGTTCAATCTAACACCAAGAAATGACTCAAAAGGGCAAAAAGCAATTTTTTTATTATTATTTTTTTTTTAAAGGCTTTTTCCTTTATCTTAGAAATGTTTGGTCATCTGTTTCTTGCAGTCAGGGACTTCATTACATATAGCTGCCAAAGCACTTTGGCCCCTTATTTGTATAGCAAGTGAGCCATGATATATGGAAAAGGCAAGGGGCCCTAATGTCTCAGGAATGTGGCAGGATTTTTTAACCTACTCCGGAGCTCAGGCACAATAATTGTTTTTCTTTTTCCCCCAGTCTTTTCATGTTCCTTTAATAGTATAGAACCACCTGAACTAGTTTAGTTCTATGTTCTACTACTATGCATATCAGTATAACAGCTTGTTAGTGCAACCTTCAGCTTGTCAGTGCAAACTCATGTGGACACAACTGCATGTGTTAACAAGAGTTCTTGGTTTTGACACGATCTCATCCTTCCGGTATAAAAAAAAACTCAAGTTACAGGGAGATCACGATATTCTTTATAGAGCATCAGATAAATACCTTCCAATAAGCCTTGTCAAACACTGCTGTGCAATAAAGCTGTTTAGACTTTTTTTTTTTTTTTTTTTTTTTTTTTTTTTTTTTCCCCAGAAGAGTTGTGTATGTGGTGCTGGGTTCACATAGCAAGGAGTAGCAAGGAGTGACAGAAAAAATGCTTTCAGGTACACTCATTTGTTTAGGATGATACCTGTCTTCATAAAGCTGTGTGCAAACTTGGGTACTTGCAGATGTGGCAGTGGTTCAGAAAGGTTTTGAAAGCTTCAGTGAAAATAGTGATGGTTGCAATGTGCAGACTGCCCAGCAGTTTTACACACTGTCACGCAGACCTAGCATGCCACCATTCTGACGGAAGTCTGTGTGTAAACACGGCTTCATCAAACTGCATAACCTATGGCACAGATAGTGTTAATTACATTGCTTTCTGAAATCATTCAAATTTTGTAATTCATATTTCACTAGAATTGTTCTTCCACCTGCTCTGTCCACAGATCATGTTTCGTTAAAAGTGCTGAGGAGCACCCAGAACTCTGAAGACAGCAGTTTTGTGCAAGATAAGAATGTTCCTTAAAGAAGCTGATGGAGGATAGAGCTCAAGAGTGCCTGTCATACACTGGCAGCATAAGATGACACCATAGTCTAGTCTGAAATTGTAAGTCTTGAGAAAGACTTGATGTCTTTCATTTTACAAAAGGTTCTTGTACTGGAGAAACTTAATAGTGGGCTGGAGTCTGCTTTCAGGACCTGCATGGGTGTGTTTGCTTCTTTTCAGTTGTGCTAATGTCAGCATGGAGCAGCTAAATTTTCTTTGGTGGGTCAGGTATTCTCCATATGCAGATTTTAACTGAATCCTTCTCCGTTAGATGAAATGGAGATTATTTACCCAGGTGAGCCTTTGCTTTCTGCTTTGTCTGCAGAACTGCTAGGAAATCTAGGAAATAGGTGGTGTAAGCTTTACAGCCTGACTGAATCTACCAAGGGAGTTTCCATTCTGAAGCTGTGTGTTCATAAGGAATTGTTTCATTTACAGAAAGCTGTTTGGAACCTGTAGTTACCAACAGTCTTGAAATCATTGATGCCATGAAACATTCACATGAAATATTTTTCATGATATCCATACCTTTGCGGAGTCTGCTTTTGACTGAGGTTTTTTACTGTATAGAGACCTGTCAGTAGGGACCAGGTTACAAGTCAGGAAGCTAGGACACTGGCAGTATATATTACATGGTTGTAACTACAGTATTAAATATAAAAATTGCACTACACTTGGCAGATATGAGCTTGATACTACAACTGGGGGAAAAAAAAATCAATATTAGTAGATATTTTACTGGAATCTACAAGTCCAGTGGACTTTTTTCCATTTCAAAAAGTGGAAGAACCATATCTCAGGCTTCCATTTCCTTTCACCTTCATTACACAGCTCTCTTAAGAAACAGTAAATGCAATAAGCAATCTTGTAAAGTGTGATTCTATTTATAAATAGTCAGTGATCAAATCCTGTCATTTATTCCTGTGTGACCCTGAGAGAAGCAGGAGATAGATGTTTTTCAGTGGGAAATGGAGGAGTAATTTACATATGGAAATTTGCTAACATTATTATACCAAGCTTATTTGCTATGTGTGCATACATTTTAAAGAACTAGGCTGTGAACAAGGAGATGTATAAGCCTAAATAATAAGAATGGCTATTCTGGTAGTTACCTCTGCATAGACAGACTCTTAGATATAAATTGCTATTGCAGAAGTTGGGAAAATTGCCTCTAAACATGGAGGAGGGGAAAAAACAAACAACAAAGTGGGGGAGTGAAGTCCCAAAATTATGCAATTTGAAATGTAACAAAAGCACAAAGATCTTTCAAAGCACATGTGCTTTGATAAAGATAGGTATTTTCACCTGTAAAACCAATGTGAGAAATCGAGGTTAAATGTCCTCTTAAATATCCACACCCTTGCTTGTTCTGTAGCTACGTATAGTGGATAGTGGTAAAATACTTTCTTTTTATGATTTTAACTGTTTATTCAGGTAATGATGCATGCTGTACTACTAGCGCAGCAGAGAAGTGACTCTGGGACGTCTGTTACTCTTTGAAATGCGTGGTGATGAAATCAGGATTAAACCTAAAAATCACAGCCTCCCTAGACCCTGCCAGTTCTTTGTGTCTAGAGATGTATGCCCTTTGCTGAAATTCAAGGGGATATACATAATGATATATCACACCAGTTATCTTTAAGAAATAGATACTGAAAATTGTTGTTGGAATAGCACTAGTCTCTAAACTTATGTCAGTAAAATGTAAAATTATTTGAAATAAATGGTGGAGGAACGAGATGTAGGACACGGCAGACTGTTGATGCACGCAAAGTAACAAACAGGATGCTTGAAGGAAATCTTTAAAACAATTTCTATGAGTTTTGTTAAATATCAGCAAGTATTTTAGATTTTCTATGTGATACGCAAGTTGTAAACAATCAGCTTTTTTGTCAAGCTCCTAAGTATTTGACGTTAGAGTATGAGCACTATGGTACATCAGTTTATAAAATCATTGCAAATGAATGTCAAAGAAGTGTTACAATAGAATATAGCTTAATTCATACGCCAACGCCAAATTTAAAGTTGTGGTAGAAAACTTAAAATTGAAAATGTTTTAGAAAGCAGTATTTTTCTTGGAGGAATATCAGTTGGAATATTATGACTACATTCAGTTATTTCATCTATGCTTCCTTTTGGGTCATTTCTTTTTTCATAACCTAACCGTGTTTTTTTCTGGCATTCTTAGAAGCAGAAACTTGAAATTTTCATTTCCAGAAAGACTCAACTAAAGCTTACAGGGCCTTTTGTGTTTACGAAATCTGTGCATAAGCTGTTTCAGTATTGAAACAATAGCACACTACTTGCTACTTAATGTTACTTAATTAGTTAATGTTTAAACTGTACACAGTTAAATAACTAATGTATAGTTTATTTCTGTGACTTCACCTCTCAGTGCAGGGGGGGGGCAGCTTAAACAAATTTAGATGATGCAATCATTTGGATGAACGGCTACCTTGCTTTTGGGGGAGGATGAGGGGAGGTGGAATATTTGGCTTACTGCTCTGATACATCTCTCAGCCCATGCTTTGGATACCCTCTTTTTGCCTTTGGCACCCAGACCTCTGTTAGCAGGCCAGCAAGTCCCAGGGTTTAGTATCATTGATCTTTAGCCAAGACAGATCCCCTAGTTTGTGTAGCCAAGCGAATGGAGGTAGACAAGGATCTTCACTCCAGGATTTTCTGTTCTTCTTCCTGGAGGCTGTGCTCTTCAAAACAAAACAGCAAAACCCAACAGTGACACTACAGAATTCGGAGCACTCCTCACAGCGAGATACTTTGTTCTTCATAAGGCCTTGGTTTCCCATAGGTCTCACAATTGTTGTTTTACTTCTCTGAACAGACTGACCTGGCACTTCATGCTCTTGTTTGTCTCCAGACACTTAAACATTTCACACCTCTTAGGAGTACAGCAGAAATATCCCCACATATCTGAGCCTCTGGAGGCTGAGCTTGAAGTTGCTTTTTCTAATCCAGAGCATCAATGTGGTTCTGAGTCAATGGCAAAGGAACTGGGGCCTAATCTTGCACATGGGTGAGATATCTTGTCTTATGTGGAAGGAAAGTTGATGGTTTCCTGAAGAGCTAAAACTTTCAGTTTTTCAAATAATTTGTCATCTCAACACAGAAGCTAGACACGCTTGTAGCCAGTCAGTTGGCAGGACAAAACATCCTTATTGGTCTCCAGAAACTAATCCTGCAAATGCCAAACACCACCTGATGGAAGCCAAAACCAATCCGTTTTACACCATTTCAATTCCCGGTAGTGCTGTTAACAACTTGAGTGTCACAGTTCCCTTGCCTTCTCTCCCTGCCCCCCTCCCCCCCTCCCGAACTCCATGCTGTAACCAGTAAGCCTTGCAAGACATTATAAGCCAATAGACATGGAAATTCAGAGCATGTCTTCTATTACAGAATTATCTCAGACATTGCCTCACACACAGGCCTCTTCTGGAGACTTAACCCTTTAAAACCAAGCTAGTTGCGTCTGGTATTTTAAAAGCTTTGGCTTGTGTTTGGTAATTTGCCTTGTTTGCAGTGCAGACTTAGGCAAGCCACAGGACTACTGGTGGCTTTTTGATCTTACTGGTCTTTGCAAAGACCAAGATTACAGATCATGCTACAGATTCCAGACGATCTCTAAAGAAATGTCTTGCCCTCCCAGGTTGTGATGCTTGTGGATTCTTTGTAGAAAGGTGCACTGGAAATCTTAATTCCTGAGGCTGTGATCAGCACTAAACGTGATTTGTTAATTCTTTTTTATACTCAAGTTTGCTATAACATGAGATTTAGTTGCCTGTACACAAGTCTATCCATTCTGCCGCTTTCAAAATGTGGTTTTACTGCATTTTTCCTTAATTCTGCACTCGAAAGTAGCAAATCTAGCAGTTTCTACCCTGAGAAAAACATTTCCTTTTTTTTTTTCCTACAGGTAGTTGCCACTCCCCTTAAGTGGGAAAATGTGTTCTGTTTGTACCACCAGCGATATCACGAGCCTCTAATGGTATCTTAGAGTTTGTTATGAAATGCAAATACTGACATTTTGTAAAGATGCAGAGTTTTTTTCAGGTATCACTGTGTGAAACCAAAATTACTGAAAACATAAGCTAAGAATTTTGCATGGGGGGGGGGGGGGTCTTTCTTCTGAACTATATCTCTCAGGTGCTGTAGATAAGAAGTATTTTCATAATAGATGACTTGCAGTCTATAAAAGCAGGTCATTCCTATTACTATCTTCTTTCTCTTACTGCCACTTAAATGGCAGGAGGTATTCAGCAGCCAACAGCATTGCATGCTTCTTTAAGTGGAGGTGAATGCTTTGTGGAAGTGAGATGAAGGGAAGGCTCCACTGGAGTATAACCAGCTTTGGATACCTTTGGAAGGCAGGATTGAAAAAGCTGAGGTGGGTTAAACCAGCAGTAATAATTTTTTTGGTTTATTTTTTTGGGGGCCAGATGTTTGCCTGATTTCAGTTCTTAAAGAGAAGTTGTATTCTGTAGCCCTGTTCCCATGCAGATTGATGATTATAAATATTTGGCAAGGGGACTGGGAGAGGAGAGGTTGAGAATTTTTTTCTTTGGTTGGACTGTTCCTCTCTCCACTACTTGTCTGCTCACTGCTCCTGGCTGGTCTCTGAAGAGTGCCTTGTCACAAGCAGTCCATGGATTGTAGGCCTGACACTTGTCGTGCAGCAGTGGTGACAACACAAACAGCAGAAACCTTGCCATACAGCCACTCTGGAAGGTTATTCTTAAAATTCTGTTCTTGAGTAGTTAACTGCTTGAAAGCTAGGCAGCTAGACTAACCGGGATGCATTCCCAGTGTTCCCAATCATTCATAAGATTCTGAATCTCAGTAGTACTTTGTGCAGGGTGCAGGTGTATGCTCTCATGAAATAATAAAGAAGGCAGATTCCTACAGGCTTGCTAATGGCAGTGAGTCCTCATGGGCTTGAGGTTTAATGTTTCTCCCCTCCTGCAAGATTTAAGAAGCTTGGCACCTTGACTCAGCCTCTCTGAGAGAGTATTTGTTTTGCCAGATACGTTATTTATGCCATTCTC